CCCCCTCCCCCACAGCAGCCCTGGTGCTTCAGGAGATTGTTTGACTTGCCTGCTCATTTATCTTCCCTTTGAAATGAAAATCACAGAAATTGAACACGAGCAGCGCCTGCTATGACTTACCCAGAGAACCCCCTCGCCTTATTAGGGGTGTGTTTGGAAGGCTCGCTTATCTCTGGGGTATAATCATTTCTAAAACAAAACCAGAAAGTTCTGCAGCTGGATGTTCAGTGTGACGGTCTGGGGTGGGGGACAGAGCCCTGCAGGTTGGGTCGGAGTTCCAGATCTTCCTCCAGAGGCCGGCAGACTCCCCATTGGGCCTGGGCCTGGGCCAGGCCTGGGGCTGAGAAACGCTCTTGCCGCCATGTCGCCCCCCTTCCCTCCCAAGCACACACGCAAAGGTCCAAACATATGCACACACGGACACAACACAAACACAGATACACACATCAGACAAACACAGATACACACAGATCAGACACATACACAAACACAGATACACACAGATCAGGCACATACACAGATACACACAGATCAGACACATACACAGATCAGACACATACACACATACACAGACACACACAGTTACACAAGTGCACGCACAAACCTGTACACACAAACACAGATACAAACACAGACGCATACAGATATAGACACAGAGACACACACTTAAAGATCTGCACAGGGATACAGATCCACACGACACACAAAGACAGATACCCAATGGACACATACACACAAACACACACAGACAGACACACCACCACACAGGCACGTACACGCAGAAACGCAAACACGCACACAGACACCAGCCCCCGAGCTGTGTTTCCAGCGTGGCCTCTGGTTGTGGGTTCAGGGGCCTCCTTGTCTAACCCAGGGGAGCCAGGCCGGCTCCCAGCCTTGGGGTGCGGGGCTGCAGGGCAGTCACCCGCCCACCGCCCCCAGCAGAGGGGGCTCCTCCCCGAGGCCTGCTGTGCACACACAGGCATTCCTGGGATTCCCGAGGAGGTGAGGGAGGCAGCTCCGTGCCGCAGGCTGCGGGGCTCTGAGGAAGCCTGGCCTCTTCCACCCGGCGGGCCGGGCCCTGCAGCCTCTGCTTCAGAGAAAGGGCTTTGGGCTCAGCCTCCACAGGCTCCTGACAAACGCCCCTCCCGGTCTCCAGGACAGACAGCGGCCTA